TTAACTCATTCGTTAATGAACTAGTAAGATGTGGGAAAAAATAGGATTCAAAATAGAATTGGAAAAATAGATATACAGGCAGTGAACAGTGCTGAAATGGGTTTGCTGATAGTGCAAAGCTGGTCTTTACAGGGAAGAATCAATGCATCTTTACTCGGACAAAGTTCATTTGGATTTCCAGGAGCAGGATCATTTGGATCACTATCAGCTTTCTATAACCTACAATTATAAAATAGCTCAGCCAGCACAGTGCAAGGTTCAGATCCTAGAAAACTAGACAGTTCTGACGGTGTCTTAGTCAGTGCCAGGCTGCTGGAGCATTCCACTGAAACAACACCCAGTTATCTTTATTTCCCTTTTATTAGTACCTTTTCTTCTCTTTTAGTCTTTGAAACTAAAGTGGTTAACAGGGCCTTCCACTCTAAATTGAATGTTAGTGAGAGTGCTTTGTAAGTTGTAAAAAAAAAAAAAAGACATTTATCATTAATAAATTGCTTCATCACATCCCTGTAGTCTAACAGATTGCATCACTGGTGCAGGTTAAAGTTTATCACAATTCATAGTTTGAACATGTGTTAAATTTAAGCCCTTTTTCTGTATATGTAATCCCAACTTTTCTCTGAGAGAAATGTCATGACAAATAACATGAACTTTGATAAAAATCACTGCCAGAAGGTAGGCCTATAATTTCTCTACCATACTGTGCCCAAGACTAGAGGTCTTTCCATGGTTTTACAACTTTAATTGAAGTTTATGTTAATATCTGTAAACAAAACTTTCATTGTAGTTCTCTACTTGTGGTTATTTGCTTTCAATTTTACATACAGGGGATTTTTATAATTTTCCTTTTCTTTTTCTCCCTACAGTTTGTTTTATCACACAGAGCAAGGAGTGGATTGAGAATTACCATACTCTCCTGCAAACTTGCTGATCCCGTTGAGGCAAGCAGAAACTTGTCTGGACAAGGGCATGTTTAAAATTATCTATCATTTTAGACTGTGGAAAAGTATAGGAGTTTTAACTTCCTTTAAAATGGAATATTAGTTTGAAAATTGTGGGCAAAATTGTATTGTATTTAAATGCAGCAAAACATTTCTATAAATTATTATAATAGGTTTCCTCCTGGGGGTGGTTTGGGGACTAGGCTGAAAGCATCTCTCTCACTTGAGCTCACTTCTTAGAAGGCCTGTCTATTGGCTTTGCCATGTCTCCTCCCAAGTTGAAACATGTATATGAGTTAATAAACATGCTTACTCTTTCCCACAGATTTGAATGATTTCTTTTCTTAAACCACTTTACTCTTTGTTTTGGTTCCCTAGAAAGAGTAGAACCTCTAAAAACCACTTTTCTAGTTGGTAGTGGCTTTTCATCTGACAGGACAAGGGAGAGGGTGGGAACAGCAGAAGTTGTGGGTAACTGCTTTGAGGAGAGCATCTTAGAGCTCCTTTAATCCCTGCCTCTTGTGAGGACACATGGGACCAGGGCTCCACCCAGGGCTCGTGGAGGCTCTCAATAGGGGTTGATGTTTGTAGGTCTGAATCAGCTGGGAGGAGACCAACTTCAGAGGTCACCTGAGCAGTGCCCGAGACTCAGGAACTTTGAAAAGGGGACCTACACTGACATTAAGACAACAGCTGCCATTTTATCTCAGTTTTCTTTGCACCAGCCCCAAAGTGCACTGCTCAGCTCTATACTATTCTGAGTTACTTGCTTCAGGGCACAGGCTGTGTCTGTGAAGACACACCACTAAGGTCTGTCAACATAGCATGGGAGCCTTGGCTGATGTTTGTTGGATCTGGCACTTCAGAAGGCAATACATCATCCGCCGCAGGATCAAGGGAAAAAAGGAAAAAGCATGTGTACATGAAGCTCTTTTGGAAAGTTGATATCAGGAGATAAATTTATCTTTTTTTTTTTTTGAGACAGAGTTTCAAAAACTCTGAGTGCTGTGGTGTCATAGCTCACACCAACCTCAAACTCTTGGGCTTAAGCCAAGTCTCCTACTTTAGCTTCCCGTGTAGCTGGGACTACAGGTGCCCACCACAATGTCTGGCTAGTTTTTCTATTTTTAGTAAAGACAGGATCTTGCTCTTGCTCAGGCTGGTCTCAAACTCCTGAGCTCAAGGGATCCTCCTGCCTCAGCCTCCCTGAGTGCTAGGATTACAGGTGTTACCTACTG